AGGAGCAGGAGGAGGAGGAGGAGGAGGAGGAGGAGGAGGAGGAGGAGGAGGAGGAGGAGGAGGAGGAGGAGGAAGAGGCCCCGCCCCGCTCCCGAGGACCTCCGCGGCGAGCTCCTGCGCCGCACCGCGCCTCCCACGCCGAGCTGGCCCGCCGGGGCGCCCGCGCAGGAGCCCCGCCGACGCCCCGCGGGCCCTGCGGCGCACGTGGCGCGAGCGCACCCAGCTTGACTGCACTTCAGTCGGGCCCGCCTGCAGGGGGGCACGCCTGACCCAAGTCTGCACACGCCCTCTCCTCCTGCTGCTCGCTCTCCCTTCCTCAGGGCGCCCTCCTTCCTGACTGTCGCCTCCTCTCGCCACGCCTCCGCCCCCCTAGGCCTCCCTCCTGCTCCTCGTCCACATTCTCTCCCTCTCGCCTGCCTCGTGCCCACTTGCTACCCCTGCGGGGCCAAACGACGCTCGTTTTGGATCGAGCCTCGAGCGAAACAGGAATGAGGCTGCGCATTTCGCCCCCAAGTTCTGGCGCAAGCCATTGCGGCAGGTGCTTCATCCCCCCAAGGGCACCGCACTGGAGTCGTGTCCGTGGATGGTGCCCAGCTTCTCGCAGCCGCTGTTCGCGCAGCTTGCTGGCGCTGCTGCCACGGGCGTGCTCGTGACGCCGCTGGCGGAGGCGGTGCCTCGACGGCGTCCCGAGATGCTCGGCTCCTGCCGAGGACCCTGCCGTCCTGTTGGACGCGCTGCGGGCCGCTCGCCGCGCTCCGCGTGCTCGGAATGCAGGCGAGACGTCGCGAGGCCAAGCAGGCAGCCTCCAGGAGCGCGGGCGTCCTTGTCAGCTCGGTGGACGGCAGGCCTCGCGCTGCTGTGTTCAGCACCTGGTGGCGCGGCCGGCCGGGGCGCGGAGCCGCAGGGTGTCTCTGTAGAGCCGCCAGGAGGAGCACCACCAGATCCCTCAGCTGGCGATGCTCCTCCTGGCGTGCCGGCAGAGTGTGCACTCGTTCGGCAAGAGCCGGCCGACGGGAGTTGCTGCGATAGGAGGTTGCCAGAAGGGTTCGTTGGACAAGGTTGGTTTCGCTGGATTCGAGGTCCTTCCAGCCCGATCTTAGGCACTCCAGCACGACCTGAGGCGCCCCAGCAGCCGTCGTAATTACCCTTCTGGAACCAGACCTTCTCGCCGTCCTCGATCCGACGTGAGCCGCCCCTCGTCGCGGGCGACAGGTACTCTGAGAGCACCTTACAGCCGAAGAACTTTCAGCAGGGCCGCGGGCTACGACACCACTTTGGCCAATTCGGCAGGGAAGGGCCGCACAGCGGGGCTATACACTGCCACCTCTTGCAGCACATTTGAGCGCCGTGGGAAGGGTCCGCCTGCTTCTCCTGCGCGCTCGTCGATCTTACGCGCTCAAGTATTACAGGCTGGTGGCTAATACTGGGGCAGTTCTGCCCATCATTGGGCTGGCGTGTACTCCAAGTGACAGTCGCGGGTGCGATGTCCCATCCTTTACGGGTTCACGTCCAACCCGCGAGTTTTTCTTAGTCTGCGTTTGCTGCGCCAGGCCTCACACAGCCTAACTCGCTCGTTTTCTATAGGACAGACAGCCCCCGTTCACGCGTGCACGCGCGTTTCGCCCCCTGGGGGCTCTTCGGGCCAAAATGCCCGCAGTGCAGCATCGAGCAAGAATCGTCGACGATGGGTCCACTGGCGGAGCCGTCAGTTGGTCCTGAGGTGGCCCAGCACTGGTTCCGGCCAGCAGGCAGGGCAGGCAAGTTCGAGATTCTGGATTTCGCCACGGGGGAAGCGGGTCCTGAAGGGAACAGGTATTGGTTTTTCTTCGCTGATTTCAGAGAACGACTCAGGATGAACTCGTCCTGGGGGAAGGCCACTGGGTCCAGGACCCCGCTCCCTCAGGACAACCTTTTCCCCCATTCTAAGGGTACGGTAAGATTTTCCTTTCTTTCGGCCTGTGGGGCAGCTTTCGGGCCCAGGAATTCTGAAACATTGATCAGGGGTGAGAAACTGCACCGGGTAGGCCTCGGGAAGGGTCCGGGAACCGATTTTAAGTGGATTTGGATGCGTCTTCCCTGCTGTACATGCGCAGGGCCCTGCTGCTCCATCCAATCGACCCGATACGATATCGTGTCCGGCCACTTCGATCCGATCGATTTCGGTGTCCCGGCGATCCGATGTGGCCCGAGGCTTACGCGGCGCTGTTGTGCATCCTGTGACAGCCGATTCGATTCGATTTCGATTCCGTGCCGATGCGGCCCGATCCGACACACACTCACACACACACACACGTTCCGATTCGATAACTGTTTCCCGATTTGATGCCGACCGATCTTGCAATCGGCGCTAGGGTCTAGGACACCTTTGCCGGGGTCTACTTGGCACAGAGATCCAGCGTTTCCGAGATTCGCCTGCATGGATAATCAAGCAGGGGCGAAGCGTCCCGACTTGTTTGTGGGCCCACCAGTAATATGATAGGAGTTTCGTGGTTTACCCGGCATAGTATTCGAACGTGTATTGCGGACACAGTTTGTTTGATTGCATTAGGCGTGCGTTCCAAGGGACATGTGTTTGTTCTTCGAACGGCAGCTTGTTCCAAAAACGTCACGTGGTAGGCCTGTATGAATGCCGCGACAGCCCGTCCCTGCTCAAGACACTCCTGCCGGGGTTCATTCGGCTGCGGGCATCCGTCGGATTCTGAACCCCCGTCTGCGCTTCAGAGATACGACCTGTAGGGTTAGAGTTCACGCCGGTGCATGGGCGACGCGGCGCGGTGTGAAGCCAGATTTCTGTCACGCCGAAGTCGCCGACGCATCGGTGATGCATCGGCGATGCGGCGCGATCCTCCGACCCCACCTCCGACCCCCTCCTCCTCCTCCTCCTCTCTCCTCCCCCTCCTCCCTCCTCCTCCTCCTTCCTCCTCCTCCTCCTCCTCCCCACTCCTCCTCCTCCTCCTCTCCTCTCCTCCTTCCTCCTCTTCTCCTCCTCCTCCTCCTCCCTCCTCCTCCCCCCGCTTCTCTCCAGGAGCTGGGCTGGCCGGCGCTGCCCGCGCCCGTGCTGACCTCGCCGGGCGCGGGCGCGGCCGCGCAGGCACGCTGTGTATATAACATGCAGGACCCGCGCCGTCCAAGAAGCAGCCTCCTTCTAAGAAGCCTTCCCCCCTCCAAGATGATGTTTTTTTTCTTCGGCTCGGCGCTGGCGTGCAGTGCGCAGCGTGCTGCTGGCACGGCCCTCCGTGGGGCCTTTGGGGTAAATTGCTGCGGAGGCGGGGAAGCGTATCTGCAAACACGTCTTTCCGCATGTGCTGAACTGTGTACTCAACTATGTTGCCAGAAACGGAATTCGGACCGATCCCACATGATGCTCGACTTGATCACTCGATGCTCAAAGACTGGACCCTTTGCGCCGCCCGGTCGAGCAGAAGCGGGATTTGAAGGGGGACCCACGGGGCCCCGAGCTGGCTTCGGGGGCTAAGGTCCTCGGACGGCTGCGCTGGTCCTCTGCGGCCTGCCAGCGTCGGGATGCGCTCCAGCGGGTGCGCCTCGCCGAGAGTTCTCAGCCGAAGGAGAGAAACGACATAAATGACGAATTGGCAAGACGCACCCATACCCACAGGGGGGACGCAGGGGGTCATGTGTGCGTGTTGTCGGATGGGGGTCCCCGCTCGAACGGGAGATTCCCCCGCGGTCCGACAACACGCACCCGTACCCATAGCCAGTCTTCCTTTTCTCCGATCCTCCTATGGGCATGGGTGCGTTGTCCGCCCGTCGATTAACAGAAACTCTCGACACTCCGCGCGTATTTCTGGGAACTGCGCTGGGTCCTTGTGGCGGCGCCTCCAGTGCAGGGGGTCGCGGCGCAGATCCAAGAAATCCGGGTGGCGCGTCGAAAGTTTCTGCTTCTGGCGTTGGTTCTTCCTCCATTGCCAGCCTCGGGACACTCTCCAACGGCTACTCTTCGCCGAGAGCTTTCAGGGGGTGCCCGGATCGCCACGAAGGGCCGCCGGAGGCCCGAGTTATGGCCCGGAAGAATGCCAGAAGTTGTCGAGTCGAGACAGAGGCAGGTTCGGTGGCCTTCGCGGGGCCTCTTCGCCGCCACGGCGGGAGGGGTCGTGGGACCGGGTTTGAGCTGCCGCTGTCGCCTCAGCTCGCCTTGCGCCGAGGTTTCTGGCCGCTCCCCGGCCCCCTCGGGGCCCTCCTTGGGCTCCTTGGTCAGTATCGTTTTCACCGACCCCCATCCTCATCCCCATCCCCTTCGAGACCCCCACCAAGTCACCCCCCTCAGTTGGGGATACACCCCTCGAAACCCGATGGGGGGGTAGATCGGCCAGTGGGGCCCAGGCCGCGCCGCGGGGGATGAGGATCTGTTAGACGATACTCACTTGGGACCGTGGTGCGACGGACTCGGGCGGGGCAGGCTCCGAGGTGTGCGGGTCCGCCACGCGCAGAGGGGTGCCGGGGGAGGGGGGAAGGCTTCTCCGAGGCGCCCCTGCTTCTCAGAAGGCGCGGGCCTCCTCTGCAGATGCAGGGGCGGCGCCTTCCAAGGAGCAGCCTCCTTCCAAGAAGCCTGCACCCCTCTCCCTACCCTTACGTCGGGCACGTCCCTCTACAGGAGGAATATCCCCAAAGAGTCAAAACAACTAGTCAGGGGACGATTGTCCTTGCATTCATCCACCACCTTTGGGCATTCGTCTGGGGTATTTTTCTTCTTCGTCGAACATCGGTCTGTGGGGGGACATGCCCGACCTAACCCTGCGCCTCCTTGGCGCGCCGCCAGCACCAGGCGTCGGCCTGCGAGAGGCTGGAGCAGCTCGAGGGGGAACTCGCGGGGTCGCTGGAGAAGCAGCGCGCACAGGGGCAGCGCCTCGAGGGGGAGCTCGCGGCGCTGTCGGAGCGGCACCGCGCACAGGAGGAGCGGCTCGAGCACGCCCTCGAGGCGTCGTCGGGTCCTCCTCCCTCCTCCCTCCTCCTCACTCCTCCTCCTCCTCCTCCTCCTCCTCCTCCTCCTCCTCCTCCTCCTCCTCCTCCCTCCTCCTCCTCCTCCTCCTCCTCCTCCTCCTCCTCCCTCCTCCCCTCTCCCCTCTCCTCCTCCTCCGTCCTCCTCACTCTCCCCCTCCTCCCCTCTCCTTTCCATCCTCCCTCCTCTCTCTCCCCTCCTCCTACTCCTCCTCTCCCCTCCTCCTCCGCCTCTTCCTCCTCCTCCCTCCTCCTCCTCCTCCTCCTCCTCCTCCTCCTACTCCTCCTCCTACTCCATCTCCTCGCGATCGCAATCCCTCGGTGGCCCAACATTGATGTGCCGCAGCCGCCGTGCGACCCACCTTGTTTTTCTTTTTTTCTGGGGCGACTGGGACTCGCCCAAGGCGCACTGGAACGATTGTGTGTTTACCGACGGCTCTGGATATCACACGATGTGCCAGAGCTTCGTCGCTGTGGCAGGTCAGCCGTCATGCTGAATGCCAATGGGGTCCCCTGCGCGCGCTGTGTACGGTGGGTTCGCAGGCCCGCAGCAGATTGTTGGACGTGCCGAGAGAATGGTTGGGCTGCCGGCGTTGCAGTATATGCCGTCGTTCAGGCTGATCGTTAGCGAGTTGAATTGTGTTGTGCAGGAAGGAGCGCTCTGGCGCGAGGGTGCGTGTGAGCAGGTGACCTGTGCCAGCGCTGCATACCCAGGCGTCTGGAGGCAGCTAGTGAAACTGAAGTTCGGGGGAGCGTAAGATCCGGGTTTGCCAGGACTCGGGTTCGCCATCGTTTTTTGACGGCCGCGCCTCGGGTTTTGACGAGGAGGAGTTTCGTGGGATGTCTGCAGCGGGAGGCCTCGTCAAAATGCAGGCTCGGCCTCGTCATTTTTTTGACGACCTCGTCGGGGATTTCCGAGTCCCCTGTACCCAGGGGTTACGTCCCCCTGAGAAGTGTGAGCCTCCTAGTTTTGCTTGGGCCCCTGCCTACACGACCGAGGACAAGTTTCTCTTTCCTGCTCCTGCGGACCCGCCGCCCCCTCCATACCTCTGGTTCGTGGGAAACATGTGGGCCGATTTGTTCGCCCAACTGGGGGCCCTCTCGATCAAGGTCCCTGAGGTGCACGCGAGATTGTACAAAGAGTGCCTATCAGGGGCCGCCCATTATATGCCAAGCATTTCGCCTGGGCGGTCCAGAGGAGTTGCCAGCTCGAGTCGTGGGCCGAGGGAGCTGTGCTCACTGCTGGTGCTCGGATGCCTACGCCTGCGGAGAGGAAAATAACCTCGTTGCTCCATGACCACGATCTTGTGGAGATTGACGATCCGTTGTTTTGCAGGAAGTGTAGGCGCTCGGCTAAATTCCGGAGGCGCGACGTCAGCTGGCAGGGGGCACCGATCGACGATGCCGCCCTTCTTCCATGAACACCCTGCAGGCCAGGATCCTGGAGGTCTGTGGGCGCTGGGTTGGCTGGGGCGGCGTCGTCTGGGGCGGGGTCTGGGGGGCCGTCTGTGGACGTGGCCTCTTCTGGGCTGGGCCCTGCTGGGTCTTCCGGGGAGGGGCCTGTGCCTGCCCGTGAGGGTGAGGCTGGGGCCCTTGTGGGCGTGGCCTCGGGCTCTGGGGAGCCCGAGGCGGGGCCGCTGAGGTTCACCGCGCCTGGGGGACACGACGTTGCCGCCACGGGCACGGTCGTCTGGCGTCGGCGGTGCGGGGCCTACGGGTCCGTCAGGGTGGGGGAGGCGTTCGGGGCCCCCTGCCCTTACCCCAAAGATTTGGCCCCCAGCAGGCGGCGTGTCCTTAGCCGCCTGCTGGGGGGCAAACGTTCCAAGTCTGGCAGGCCCCTGGAGTGGGGGGGGACTGACTGGGTTAAGTTTTTCTCTTCCTAGAGGTGTGTCTGTAAGCAGACGCTGCCTCTTGAGCTCGCTCCTCCTCCTCCTCCTCCTCCTCCTCCTCCTCCTCCTCCTCCTCCCACTTCTCCTCCCCCTCCTCCTCCTCGGGTCGCCTACGGCCCCGGGGGAAACCGTGCCCTCGAGGCGTCGTCGGAGAGGCACCGCCTGCAGGAGGAGGCCGCGCTGCAGCAGGAGCGGCTCGAGCGGGAGCTCGCGGCGGTGCCAGAGAGGCACCGCGCGCAGGAGGAGCGGCTCGAGAGGGCCCTCGCCGCGGCGTCGGACCGGCAGCGCGCGCAGGAGGAGCGGCTCGAGAGGGCGCTCGCGGCGTCGTCGGAGAGGCACCGCCTGCAGGAGGAGACCCCTGCAGGGGAACGAACAATGACATAAACATAACATTCTCAGAGGTCCGCGCGGATTTTTCGGATCGGCGCTGGAGACCCCTGGCGGCGCCTCCGGCTCCGCCCGTGGCGCGCTCCGCGCGCCAAGGAGGGGTGTCCAACGCCGATCCGGGAAATCCACGCGGACCTCCGAGTTTTTATGTTTATTCTATAGGCTTACGCCACATCCGCCGACCCCTCTATAAACCATTGCGCCTCCAAGACTGCATTCCACGAGGCTTGTCCGAATTATGACACGGCGCTCGACATCGTTCCTGTTGTCTCGTTGCTGTTCTCGTATTTTCCAGGGCCCACGCTTCGTCCCGATCCGTTCCCTGGCGGCGCCCTGTGGGCTCCGAGCCGCGGGGGTGGGGGGTGGGTCAGGACCGGGCGGGAGCTATGGGGATGGAGGAGGACAGGGAGAAGGCGAAGGAGGAGCCCTGCGCTGGCCTCGTTTCCATGCTTCTGCTTGTTTCGACTCGTGTTTCCACGGCAACTCTGGCCTCATTTCCTCGTATCCACTCGTTCCGAGTCGTGCTCTCGCATGGCGGAGGGAAGCGGAGAAAGGAAAGAAGGAACAAGACAAGGAAATTACCGATGAGACCGAGAAGGAGGCCTCGCCTTCGGCCCGTGGCGGCGGCTAAACGCGGCTCGAAAATCCGATGCGTTCGGGCTCCAGGGGGGTCCAGGGTTTGTTGTTTGCCACCCCTCGGGCAGAATTTCGAAGCCGGGGCAAGGAAAAGTAGCAAGAATCAGGGTAGTGTGTGGCACGTTCTGGCATGTCCGTTGCTATCTCGTGGCGAGGATTCTTGCGGGCCTCTTCGAGCAAGTTTCGAAGGGTCTTGGGGGCCGTTTCGGGGCTTCTTTGGGCCTCTTAGGGGCTCCTTGGGGCCTCTTGGGTGCCTCATGGGGGCCTCTTGGGGCCTCTTGGGGCCTCTTGGGCGCCTCCGGAGAACTTCGTTGGGCGGAGCGTTGGAATTCGCGGTTCGTGGTCCCTCTCTTGGGCCCTCCTTGGGGCCGTCTTGGAGCTCTTTTGGGCCGTCTAGGGCGCCTCCTGGGCCACGTTGGAGTTATTCTCGGTTGTCTTTGGAGCCTCCTAGGAGCCTCGTGGGCCGTCTTGGGGGCCTCGTGGAAGGCTTTCAACGCCGTGAAAGCTAAAAGTTGGATAAGCTGAAAATGTACGTTCCCCTACGGAATTTCAAGATTTTGGTTTCTGTTTTTTTTTTGTTTGAGTTTTTTGTTTGTATTGTTTGTTTCCCTATTCCTGCCCTTCCTGTGGTGTCGGGTCCGCGTTTTGATGAGACGGCGGTTGCGCCCCACCTCCGCCTCATCCCCCGCCTCCTGCCTCTGCCCTCCGCGTGCCCGCTTTGGCCACGCCCTGCACGCGCTGCGTGGCCCCATGGGGAGCTCCCCCGACGACCCTATTGGCAAAGTCCGCATGCGTCCCCCCCGGCTCCTCTCGGCACAGCCCCCACCCGCCTCGTGGCCCAACAGGGAGCTCCCCCCTCCTTCGTCACACCATCCTTGCGGTACGTGTGCGTGTAGATGGCTGGGTCCCTTGCCAGGATCTGCTGTTTCGGTCGCGCGGATCGTTTGAGCCTGACATCAGCCGCAACGATACCCAGCGGTCGTGAAAATGGGATGGGGTGTAGCGCCAACACTTTAAACTGCGATGCTATCCGCGACGTCCGCAATCACATCGCATGACAGTTTCAAGCATGTTGGTTGCGTAACGTCCGCTTCGACCATCGTCTACATGATTGATTGAATTTTCCCCGAGCGACCGCCGTCCAGTCTAAAAGGCGACACACAGATCCATTCCAGCACGTCCGATCGCCAAAATGGCGCACTGTCACGCAACAGAAGGGGTCCAGGCGAGACCGAAGGTGCCCGCAGGGGAGGGGGTCTGAGGCTCCGGGCAGGAGTCGTGCGAGCTGGTGCTGCACTGCCGGACTGGCCAAGCAACGCTTCTCTTCAACACTCGGCTCGTGGCCGTTATTTGCATTTCTTCCTTTTCTCTCAGGGGCGGCGAAGAGGGGTGTGATGACTAGGGGGGGTGGATATCATGGCGTGGTCCATGGTATTACCTCAGATTTCATGGCGCCTCTTCTTATTTCATTACGTCCCTGGGCCCCCCCCCCGGGGCCGCGCACATGCCGCCGGCCATGATTTGTGCCCCCCCCTCTTGGACGCCCCCCTCTTGGCCGCCCCCGATTCTCCTCGTCTCGCACAATGTCTACCCCATCGCGATCCATTTCGCGTGCCCGTCCGCATCCTTCTCCTCCTTGTGCTGCCCCTCTTCCCCCCCCTCGTCTGTCGCTTGTACTTCACTGGTCTGTCCTGGGTCGTCCCAGCTATGCGGCGGCTTGGATTCTCAGTGGTGGCCTGCATTTGCATGTCGTGAGGCACACTGGACGGACTGGCTGACTGACTGACTAGTGGCACCCGCCAGGCGGCCGTTTCTTGTTGTCCGGCTGCCGGGCACGCCCCTGACGACGACCACGACCACGACCACGACTCTCCAGCCGACGAGTTCGGAACCCTACGGCGCAGCCAATAATTCGCAGGTCGTTGCATGGGCGGCCGCCGAACGCGCAGCCTGCGGCGAAGCCGGACAACGGGCCCGTCTCGTTCTTGACCGCCGAGAACCTGTCACGCAACCAGCAGCGGGGGGTACGCTGGCGGCGCGCAGCAGACGGGGGGTGCGGGGAGGGGGGGAGGCTTCTTAGAAGCACCCCTGCTTCTCTGGAAGGCGCGGGCCTCCCCTGTGGATGCAAGGCCGGCGCCTTCAAGAGGCAGCCTCTTTCTAAAAAGGCTTGCCCGCCTCCCCCTACCCCCGCCCCCCCCGCGCCGCCAAGCACGGCCACCAAGCCGCCGCGCGCTGGGCTCGGTCCGCCACCCCACGCCGCTCCCCGAGGACCCCGACGGCCCTTCCCGACGACTGCAAACGACCTCCCCCCGACGCCCACCGCCCACTCCACCGCTGCGCCTGCGCCGCCTGGTCGGCGTCGCCGCTGTAGGGCTGGTGGCCTCGTCGCGGCTGGCGCCTCTCTCCTGACCCCTGGCCTGGCATGTCTGCTTGCGGTCGCTTCCCCTCTCATCCTTTGCCTTGATTCCCTTCCTTTCCTTCTGCTCACTGCCTGCTGTCTCCGCCTAGCCCCTCTTCCGCCTGCCCGCACGCCCCGCCAACCCTGGCCTCCCGCCTGCGCGTTCGTCGTCGTCTGTCTGCTTCTTCCCCCTCTTCCCCCTCCACCGGGCAGCACAGTTTGCCCTGGACCAGCGTGGCGGCGCGATAGTCGTTTGTTGCGGCCACAGCGGGGTACGTGTAACGATCGTGCGTGGGGGAGGGCCCTGTACCCCCCCAGCATCCCCTCCCACATCCTGGTGCCCGCGCGTATACTTTGCCCCCCGGGTAACGACCGTGACCGTGGAGAAGAAACAACAATCGTCGGGAGACAGACGCCCCTGCGTCGACCCCCAATCGCCCATTGATCGCCGATAGGGGCCCGATAGCCCCAGCCTGCCCAGGAAGGTGCGGATTCACGATCGGGGGCCCATCGCCGATCTATCGGCGAAGTATCGCTGGATGTCATGTCGATGCATCCCCCCTATGCAAGTTCCTCCCGATCGATGCCCCTCAGACAAACGCCCCTGCGTCGATCGCCACTGCGTCTTGGGGCCCACTCTCGACGTCCCGACTGGAGACGCCCCCCGCACTGCGCGCGCGCCCGCGCGAAAAAGCAGCCAGAGAGGAGGGCGCGCGGCGACTCGCTGGCGAGGTGCGCGCTGCGGCGGAGAAGGGCGACGAGCTGGAGATGGCGGCCGCGCGCTCGGGTTAAGTCGGGCATGTCCCTCTACAGGAGGAATGTTCAAACATAGTCAAGACATAGCCTGGGGCCGATATTTTTATTATTTTTGGCTGGTTGGGGGCATTTTGTGAGTAGCGTTCATGTTCCTTCAAAACCCGCCTGGAGGAGGACATGCCCGACCTAACGCTCGGGCTCGCAGACAGGTGGGGGGGACCCGTGAGGTGCTGCATTTCGTGCCATTTCACTTGCGCCTGCTGCTGCCCCCGCCTCCGCATCGACTTCGCAGACGTCGCGCGAGCACTGTGCCGCGCTGGCGTCTCCCGAGGCGCGTCGTCGATCCTCGGCCCAGCAGCGGTGCGGTGCAACAGTTTTCGGGCGCTCGGAGGCGAGGAATCATGCACCATACCACGTTGTAGCGGGGCCTAAAGGGAGTCCAGTCATGGCACGGTGCATGAGCGCCGTTCTCAGACCATCCCAACCAGACTCTTCTGTACAGGCGGGGCCGTTGAAGCTGGGTGACTAAAGAAAAAGCAAGCTCCCACCCCTAGACTATGAGTCGATAGTGGTGAATGCAGAGGGGTAAAGGGGCTCTGTCTGTGTTGTTTGGTGTTTGGCTGTTTCTCGTATGGCTTCGGGCGACAATCCGCCCAGAACGGGGACCCACGACTGGGACTCATACTGAGGACCCACGGTGGGGACCCAGGAGGTGGCCAGATCAATCTACGCTTGAAGCCAGTCTGCTCGAAGCAAGCCAGTGCCGCTGCGACATGGCCGTTGTCAACCCTGCGATGGTAGTACCAGGCTGCTTGGCGAAATGGTCGATGCCGGCCGTTGCCGCATCGAGAGGATGACTCACGCATTGCCGATGGTCGAGAAAGACGATGATGAAGATCGGCACCGACGTTTCTGCGTCCAGTCTGTGTCATGGTCATCCTTTTCTTCTATTTCGAGACGTGGAGGAGGGGACATCAGCAACAGTTCGAAGACGGAGTTGGGGCCATTCATCGGACGGGGCCAGGACGAGGATAGATCCGTTCCAGAACGTTCCGGAACGCTCTCGGAGCGTTCTGGAACGTTCTGAGAAGGCCGTGGCGCCCGAGACATCTTCCAGAGCCGCCGGATCTCAGAGATTCTCGATTTTATTATCTCTTGATTTTATCTTCGTCCTGGCTTCGTCTTACTTCTCTTTCCTTTGAGACATGGAGGAGTGAACAGCAGCAGCAACAGTTCGAAGACGGAGTTGGGGCCATTCATCGGACGGGGCCAGGACGAGGATAGATCCGTTCCAGAACGTCCCGGAGCGCTCCGAGAAGGCCGCGGCGCCCGAGACTTCCTCCAGATCCACCGGATCTCAGAGATTCTCGATTCCATCCTCACCCGATGTTATGCTCGTCGTGGCTTTATCTTAGCGTCCAGTCTGTGCCATGGGCATCCTTTTCTTCCTTCGAGACGTGGAGGAGGGGACAGTAGCAGCAGCAGCTCGGAGATGGAGTTTGGGCCGACTGCCTCTAGGACCCTAGGAGTTACCTTTCGCCTGAGTGACCTTTGGTGCGGGCCCCTGGGGTCCCCCGATCGCCGAACGCGAGGCGGCAGTGGCGTCTTGCGCGCTTGTGCTTGGGCCCCCCCGCGGCCCCCTAAAAAGCCGCGCACCTTAGGTCACTCAGCTCGGTGACGGAGTTGGGGCCATGCCGAGGCCAAGATGCGGGCTGGACGCCTCAGTTCCGTTCGCGTGCACGCTGTCTGAGCCAGCTCAGTGGCTCCACGCGGGCGTCGCCGAGCTTGCCATCGTGCTGCGGTAGGCTGCGGTGTCTGCTCAACCCCCTCCTCTCCAAAATTGCGCGCGAAAAAACATGTTTGTTGCGTCGGCGGCTAGGCAGAGTAACTGCGCTGGCGAAGAGCTACCTAAACGGGGGTGTCGCTGTCGCGAATCGTGCGGCCATGCAGGAGGGGAGGGGGGACAGGGCAGAGGAAGCGGCCGAAAGAGGGGGCGGGAGGGGAGCGAGGCCGACTGCGTGAGAAAAACCGAGGCCAAGATGCAGGCTGTCTGAGGCAGCTCAGTGGCTCCGCGGCTGCGTCGCCGCGTCTGCCGTCGTGCTGCTGTGTCCGCGCCCCCCTCCCCTCTCCTCCGCTCCCCCCCCTCCCCCGCTCCCCCCCCCCCCCCCTCCCCCCCTCCCTCTCCCTCCCCCCCCCCCTCCCCCCTCCCATGTTTGCGCGCCCCCGAGAAAATCCAAGGCCAAGATGCAGGGGCGCCTCCAGCGCCTCGAGGAGGAGCTGGGGCAGTCCCTGGAGCGCCTGCGGGCCGAGCTGCAGGCGGCCGCCGCGCGCGGGAGCCGCCGCCGCGCGCGCGGGGTTGCCTTTTTTGAGGCCGTGCGCGGCCGCGGCGCTTGCAGCACCCGCTGGTCGTTGAAAGTTCCCCAATCAGAGCCTGCCTCTGTAGGGGTCCTAGCCTACTAGCCGATTCCTATGGTTAGGCGAGGTGGGGCGCCGATTTTGGCGGCACGCCCGGGTGCCTCGGGGTGCCCCCGGGTGCCCTATAGCTTTATGGCCCTATAGACCTGTAGTTATGTAGCCCTATAGCCCTAATTGCCTTATAGCCATGTAGCCCTATAGCCCTACATTGCCCTGTAGCCTTATAGCCCTATAGCCTCATAGCCTTGTAGCCCTATAGCCCTATAGCCCTATCGGCCCATAGTCCTACAGCCCTAAAACATCATGATTGGTTTTCTCCGGTATCATAGGTATTTGTTTGATTTCCAGATTCCAATCTACTTTCAGCGCCTTCCTACCTCAATGATCGAGTGGCTTCACCTTTGCCGTTCTCCTCAGCGGGCTGGCGGACACCCAATCTACGTTCAGCGCCTCCCTGCTTCGTGTTTCAGCTTCCACCTGCTTCTTCCGACCGAGAGACTGCAGGGTCTCGGTCGGGCGTCCTGCATCCTTGCGCCCGCCTCGACGCGCAGGGGCGGCCGCTCTCCCGCAAAAATCATCGTTCGAGATGCACGTGCTTGGGGGGTCGCACTGGCAGGAGGCTCGCCGCGGGCACAGCTCCGGCGGGCTGCGGGGCAGCGGCTTACGCCCATACTGGAAGAAGAAGAAGAATTATCCCAGTGCGACCCCACCTAGGAGTTGGATCCCCTAGGGAAGCAGCATAAGCTAAGCTAAGCTAAGCTAAGCTAAGAAAGCTAAGCTGAGATAAGCTAAGCTAAGCTAAGCTAAGCTAAGTCAACCTAAGCTAGGCTAAGCTAAGCTACGATGAGATAAGTTAAGCTAGGTTAAGCTAGGATCAGCTAAGCTAAGCTAGGCTAAGCTAAGCTAAGATGATATAATCAATGCTAAGCTAAGATGGGCTGGGTTAAGCTAATATACGCTCAGCTAAGATAAACTGAGGTAAGGCAAGTTAAGCTAAGCTAATATATAATAAACTAAGCTAAGATGAAATAAACAACGCTAAGCTAAGGGAACGTCACTGGGGGAAACAACATTAGTAGGGGGAACCGGATGCCGGGGGAACATTAGTAGGGGGAACCAATTGCGGGGCGGATGCTGGGGGAACCGCCCGGGGCGAGGAACACTGCCCGGCCCTTTAAGTTTATAAAGTAAGGACCCTTCTAGGCAGAGCCTAGAGAGGGAATAACATTGAGCTAACATGAAGCTAAGCTAAGATAAGATGAAATAAGCGCTAAGCTAAGATAAGATAAGCAACGCGAAGCGAAGGGAACGTCACTGGGGGAACCGCGGGGCGGATGCTGGAGGAACCGCCCGGGGTGAGCCCCACCGCCCGGCCCCTTTAAGCTAATAAAGTAAGAACCATTCTAGACAGAGCCTAGGTAGGGAATCAGAAAAAATAACAATTGCACAAACATAAACTGTTGGCGCTCCGCGCGGATGTCTTGGATCCGCGCTGTACCCCCCCGGCGGCGCGTCCAGCGCCGCCCCTGGCGCGCTCCGCGCGCCAGGGAGGCGGGGTCCAGCGCAGATCCGAGAACTCCACGCGGAGCGGCCAAAAGTTATGTTTATGCAGCTGTTTCTTCCTCCAGGGGTAGCGGGTTACGCCATACGGGTGGCTCAGAATGATCTTCGGATTTTCGGATTCTCCATGCGCCCCACCGCTGTCCTTTCTGGACTCGCGGATCCCAATATCCTTTTGGCGCATGCCTACTTTAACGAAGACTCGAGTGCGCCAGAACTCGGGTTTGCCGACGCTTTTTGACGAGCGCGTCCTGGGTTTGAACAGTTCGTTTTTCGCGGGATGTCTGCATCGGGAGCGCGCGTCAGATTTCAGATAGGGTCTCGTCATTTTCATGGTGGCCCCCGCCAGGCCAAGCCAAGTCCCCCCGAATCCCGAGTCCCACGCCTACCCGACAGTACGGGGCCACCTTGGGCTCAGGAGGAGGCGCCAGCTTGCGGGCCGTTCCTTTCGGTGGCCTCATTTGAACCCTACCCCACCTAGAGGGTTTCTCCGAAGGGCTTAGGCGACCCGTCCTTCTCCTCGTCCTCCTCCTCCTCGTCCTCCCTCCTCCTCCGTCCTCCTCCTCCTCCTCCTCCTCCTCCTCCTCCTCCTCCTCCTCCTCTGGCCGCCGTCCTGGCTCAGGCTTTGGGCGCTGCTACCAGGCAGCAGCGAGCCCGAGCAGGGACAGTTGCCACACGTACCGACTCTTCTTTCGCGCACGCCTGCTCCTGCGAGAGCCACAGGCATTGAACCGCCGTGGCACTGAAGGGAGCGAGCAGAGCGCAGCAGAGTTCGCACCATGATCAGAGTTGTTACAGCTGCACATTTTGTTGAGCAACCACCACAGTGCCAATAGAGACGGACAACAGCCAGCAGACATGTTTGAATATCGTGATCGTCCTCGCAGACCGAACAGATCGCAGCATCAGCAGCAGCGTCCTCCTTGGCAGCAGCAGCATCAAGCTCCCCTGACAAAGCAGTTCAGATTTAGAAAGACGTGGGAACGTCCAGCACGTTCTTGTGAGAACCCATGGGGGGCCAACCAATGCAGACAACGCCATCCAGCAGCACCAGCCTCAAGCAGCCGCGCATAGCAGAATAGAAGATATCCCCGCACTCCCTCCAGATCGAGAGTTGCATCCAACACGATAAGAGCCGCACCCATTCAGCCAGTCTTGACATCATCGCCGCCTTCTGATATAGAAGAGCAATTCCAAATTATGTCTGCCAGCCCTGATATCGCCATGGCTCACAGAAGATGGCAGGAACCACCGACCGATCCATAACAGTTGGGATACTTCAGACGCGCACTCAGCGGCACTATGGCTGGATTGGAGCGACAAATCAGGTGTGCCACAGATCGGAATATCACCCCAAACCAGATCAATGCGCCCAGTCCTCCAGTGCCAGATGGTGCACTCGAGATCGCCGCAGGTCAGAGTCTCTAAGCAGACCCGATGTGTCAGCAGGTGCAAACGCCGCCTTGCAGATGCTCGCGCCAGATACACAGGTCTGGAGGTCGAGCTCGAGGCGGCGCGCGCTCAGCGTGAGGCACAACAAGACCTCACTGCAGCGGCAGAGCTTTTCGAACACTTTGAAGACTTATCCAAACATGCTCAAGACGCACGGTAGCATTCGACGAGGCAGGTGACGCCAACATGACGGATGATGGCGATGCAGCTCCGCTCAGGCGAGGGCGACATCAGAGTGAGTCACATGCAGCCAAGCAGGTAGCGCCACAGCCTCAGCAGCTCCATCAGCAGGTGCCACAGCCTTGAGGAGCCCAACTTGGAGGAGCGACGACAGCTCCATCAGCAGAGGCCAGTGCTAGTACTACGCCAGCTCTGATGGTAGCGTTGCAGTCTCAGAATGCACTACTCATTGACTCCATGAAGAAGTTTCAGGAGACAGTCAATCACCTGCAGCAGGACACAGTGAAGATCAGGACACAGGACATGGATAACATCAAGTCAGCGGCATCGACGCTGCCATCGCGGCCCCCATGAAAGTCAATGCCAATATCACGACGCAACCAGGAGGGCAAGCAGTAGCTGGGCGCGCCAGACTCCGAGCAGCACTACGAGGCGAGCGCCCACCGCAGCATGCATCGCCGGCCGCGCCTGCATCGCTGCCACCGGCCCATGCGCCAAGATCCTCGCGTACTGGCGCGCGCTCGGCATCCCCAGGGCTGCAGCAGACAGGGGGATCGGGGGCAAATATTCGACGAGACGAACGCGACGGGGCACCGGGCACAGGCACAGAGACTCCAGTCGCCCAGGACACCAGTGATTTCGAGGATGGGCGACCCCTGAGTCACCCTGGACCCATTGGTTCACATGAAGCAGCAGCCTCCTTCCCTGCGCCGCCAGCATCAGGCAGCCCAGTTATTCGCTATCGAAGTCGTTTGATCACCCAGAACTGGGCTCATTCAGTGCTCGGCAGCGTTTGGCAATTCAGAATAGTAGAGTTGTCGATGCATGTCAGCTCGTCCAGCGTCAGGGGGCGCGGCGGCGTGGCCCGCCCTCCCAGCCTGCCCGGGCACTCCTGATATCAATGTTGTAGGTCTCATGCGCGGCTTTTGTTTTTTTTCTCTTCTTTCTTCCCTTCAAGGCGCCAGGGAGCTCCTGGAACGACCCTGGGCCCTGGAGTTGTCGCAGAACCCATTATCTCTGGCTCCCTTTCGGCATTCTGCGACCATCGAAGGGGGATTTGCATGAATGCGACCTCACCAGAGAGCACGCAAGGCACGAAGTCTTCACTGACGCAACCTCCGAGAAAAAATCAAGCACTACAATCAACGCTGCGCCCTGGCTTGGGCCTTTTGTGTGCTGGCTATTTCGGCAGTTGGATGCGCATTGGTCGGTTGCATGGCTGGGCCAGTCCCAGACGTTGAGGCAGCAGATTCTCTTGCCCCACTCCGCTCGGAGATTGAAGCTGCCGTCTGGGCCACTGCGCGGCGTCTCCAGTGCCTGGCCACTCTCGCAGCGCAAATGGCTCTACGCAGCGCCAACATGGACGTCGCTCGGGTTTTGCAGGGGGGATGTGTTACTGGGGCTTCTTCGCAATCCAAGCACATGCATGACAGTCTCATGCGCATCCTGCGCACGCGCGCGTAGCATATTGAGGGTCAACGCATCCACGGCCACACGGGACGCCCTTGGAGCGCATGTGTAGACGCTGCGGCCAGGCTTTCTGATATGCAGCCCTTGCCTCCGCTCTTTGAGCCCAGCTGGAAGTCTATCATTCTGCAGGGGCCGCACTGGACTGCGTTGCCATGGATGTGGATTGAAAATCTACACACTTCGCAGAGAGCAGCATGCCCACCTACCGCTGGCGCGGCCATGTCCGCCCACCTACTGCCGACAGCTACCATGCTCGAC